CATCAGTATGACGGTATATTAAGAGTTTATGGATGTTGAGTAAAATACTTTCAATGATCTCGTTCATATCGTTTGTTATCCATTCATTTGGCAAATCTATCCGTGGGTTTTCTAATCGTACGGTCATTACAGCAATATCTCTACCCAAGTCAAAGCTATCTTCAAAGCATGCTTCTCGAAATTTGAAATAAAGTTTTTCCAACGATTCAGCTGCGATTGGACATGTAAGTAACTTTAATAATTGCATTAATAACTTATCAAAATGTAATGAAACTGCTTTAGGATTTCCTGCGAATGCCGCCTTTAACATAGACATGGCACTTTTTAACTTTTTATTGAGAATGTTTATCTTTTATTAAATCTATTCAATACAATAACTTAACAACAAAAATATTTTTATTTTTTTATTTCGAAATAAATAATTTATTCATTTACAGTACATAAGACAAAATCATTTCGGACAATTTTAATAGGGTGTATTCTTACATCTATAATTTTACTTCAATTCAATATTGTGTCATCAAATTCTTCGTCTTTACCAATAGCTTGGACAGCAACTTTACGCAAAACTTTGTTTACAACTTCATTTAAGGAATCCCTCGCGCCAACTTCTAAAAGTTGACAAACATAGCTAAAAGTAGTATCGTTATCACGGAGATGCAAAATTGAAACTAAAGCTATCTCAGAATTAGACTTTACATAACCATTTTTTTCTTTGGTACCGTTAACTAGCATTGGTACGAGCTGTTTAATAACATCTGGGCTCATCTTATCAATAGCTAACGTTTTTGCCAAGTAATTACAGCTTTTAGCAACAATCTGTTTTATTTCGTTGCACCACTGCTTGCAATATTTATTTTGTCTGATGAAATACTAGAAGTGATAAATTCTATCAACTTGGATTCATATTTCGAAGTAATAATTGCAGGACTCTCTTTCAATGCCACAAACAGGGCTGCGGTTCGTCCGTGTTTTAATAATACGTCACCATTTCCAGCAACGAAGATATGAAGCTCTAATAAATCATCAACTTGTTGAATCGATAAATATTTCAAAAGTGCTCCTAAACAACCTGCAGAAGCAGATCGAGTAATTTCTTCTGAATGTCCTATCATATTTAGTAGAGTAGCGCTTAATTGTAGCTTTAAACATTCAGACATTTTTTCTCCAGCTAAATTAATACTTAAACGTATTGCCGCTAACATAGTTTCTCGCATGGACGGGTCGTCATCAGATTTTATCCCATTGTGAATTTCATTAAATATTGAATCAGGCCGTGAATGTATGATAACCAACTCAGATATTGCTTGCCCAGCTTTCATGCGAACACTTCTGTTCGAGTCGTGTAAAGCCTTCAGAAATGTTGTTTGTAACTGCGGTAAAAATTGTTTCAACATGACTCCAACTTTTTTCAATAAAATAGCTAATGTTTCCAGTACAGCTGCCTTGACACCTGCATTAAAACGATCTCCTAGAATTCGAATTAACGGTCCAGTTATTTGAACAACAGATGGCTGTAAAGACTGAGCACTGGTTAGAGAAATAATTTCACCTAACCCTTCGGCTGCATTTTCTTTAACATCTGGCATTCCATTCAAAATTGCTTCCCGAAAGACGGGAAGTAGAGGCGTAATTCCTGTCGGAAGGCAAAAGCCCGGCAGCTCGGAACCTTTAATTTCGCTCGAAGCAAACCGAACGGCTTGTCTAACGTCACACACTAGAGCAATTTGTTGGGTTGAATCTAAAGTTTTCACAACTGAGTTTAACGCATCCCATGAATTTTGTAAAATGTCGCGATTGGAATCAGCCATTAGGCGTAATAAACTGCGTAACAATTGTGGAACATATTGGGAATAATCACCTGGAGAGTGTGTACAGAATACACAAAGTAAACTTGACGCCGACTTTCTTATATTTATGCAATCAGATTTTGCTGACATCATTAGAGTGTCGACAATTGTCCGAACACCGATTTCGTCTGTAACTGACAGTATTACTGCTTGACAATAATCTAATTCTTGGTACTCATAGGCAGTTCCTTGTGCATCGGAAAGTGCATGTAGCAAAGCATCCAGAATTTTTGGAAGGTACTTTGTTAATGCATCCCCTGCCACCGAAACTAATATGGAAAGGGCTTTTGTATTTACTGGAGTTGATGTTAATTGGGGAACAAGATATGGCAATACCACTCGAGATTTAATTGTCATCACTTGGCGAAGGCCATCTAATGTATATTCTGCAACAGTTGGATCAGGGTCATTCAACCCCTCAAGCATTGAAGGTAAAATATCGTCTAAAGCACGTGAGCCAACAGTTGAATGTAAAGATTCAAAAGTTTTTGCCGCGGCTCCTCTCACCTCAGGTAAAGGATCCGATAAAGCTTTTCTTAATGTTGGAACTAGACTGTTAACGAACGACAATGCCATTTTTTTAGAAGTTGAGGTCATTATTTCCGATAGGTCAATGCAAACTCCTTGACTTTGATCTGGATGTTCCGATTTAAGTCCCTTCTCTAATATTGGTATTATTTCGGGAAGTACTCTCTCTCCCAATTTTCTCACCAAATCTCCTAACGCTCGCGCAGCAACTTGACGTTTATCATAGCTGGTGCTTGCCAAACATCCTAATAGTAAACTAAATAATGTAGGTAAGATTTCCATAGTGTGCGTGGTGTGTTTGTTACTACGACTTTCCAAACATGTAGTGACGCTTGTCGTACCATCAGTGATACATCACTCCGGCCCATATAAAGGCCTGAAAGAACTCTATTTCGCCTTTCTTCGCCTAAAAATCTTATTATGGCAGTATGTGACTGTTCGTTTCAAAATTATTATGCTTTAATATAGGATTAATTATTTGGCCACTATAAGGAGTAAAATCCTTAGGGAAAGGCCTTGGCATATATATAAACATCATTATATATCCATCTTTCACATGTGAGGCAATATCTGTTCTCTCCGCAGTTGTGATAATAACTGGGGCATTTAAATTGGTGCATACAAAGCATTGCAATAGATGAGGTAGTACATGAACAATGTAAGGCTCAAATAAACGTCCAAGGGTTGTACATAATACTTCAAAAGCCAAAAATGCACCTTCCCGTGATTTATAATTTTTTTCCTCTTGTATAAATTTCGTTAATTTTGACATTATATCGAATTGTTTCAATGACAAAATTCCCAAGCCTTTCACAATGAACGCAATTCCATAAGCTGCACCCCTCCGCTCTCCATACTTATCAGATTTTATTAGTTGTTGCAATAATTTCAGGAGCTTTATCTTTCACCGATTCGAATATCATAAGCTTCTAAGTGTCGAGCTAATCAAAACAAAATAACTTTTTTAATAATTTTCAGAACCCTCAATGAAACTTCTCTTACTGACTCTTTGCTGCTTTCCAACGAATTTAAAAATATCTCTATCTCATCGTTAGTAGCATATGCACAGTAGTCTTCCCCAGAACTTAAGTTTGCCACTTCCAAAAGTCCACCTACGGCTTGTGTTTGAACTCTGCCTTGGTACATATTTATAAAATTGAGTAGTAATTTCGACATTTCTAAAAGAGGCATGTACTTAGGATGGTTGTAGTCTGTCACTTCACCAAACACCGTAAAGCCTCTAATTTGAGCATGACATTCAATCAATTGAATACCAATCAACAACAATTCTTCGCTGTTCACTACGAAATTTGTCGCAAACGCTCGTTTTAAAAACTCGAATGTATATGTATGTGAAGGACGGTGCGCTAAATAGAGTGTTTGATGTATTTTTATGTCCATCAGTATGACGGTATATTAAGAGTTTATGGATGTTGAGTAAAATACTTTCAATGATCTCGTTCATATCGTTTGTTATCCATTCATTTGGCAAATCTATCGTGGTTTCTAATCGGACGTCATTACAGCAATATCTCTACCCAAGTCAAAGCTATCTTCAAAGCATGCTTCTCGAAATTTGAAATAAAGTTTTTCCAACGATTCAGCTGCGATTGGACATGTAAGTAACTTTAATAATTGCATTAATAACTTATCAAAATGTAATGAAACTGCTTTAGGATTTCCTGCGAATGCCGCCTTTAACATAGACATGGCACTTTTTAACTTTTTATTGAGAATGTTTATCTTTTATTAAATCTATTCAATACAATAACTTAACAACAAAAATATTTTTATTTTTTTATTTCGAAATAAATAATTTATTCATTTACAGTACATAAGACAAAATCATTTCGGACAATTTTAATAGGGTGTATTCTTACATCTATAATTTTACTTCAATTCAATATTGTGTCATCAAATTCGAAGTCACGTATTGCTGCCAATATAAGGAGTAAAATCTTAGGGCCCTCATATATATAAACATCATTTTATATCCATCTTCTTCATGGGGCAATATCTTCTCTCCGCAGTTGTGATAATATTCGGCATTAATTGATGCAACTTTTGCACTCCTAAACCGCCACAACTTCGGCAAGACCTTGGCAGCTCCACTGCGGTGACACTCTAGATTCTGATGTCAAGGTTTGCACAACCATGGTATATAGATCTTCAAATGAAGTACACCTATTCCACGAACCATAGCTCTAATGCTCTGCAGAGATGGCTCTAACCTCCGGCACGGGTCAAGAAGAACATCTTTAGAACAGGAATTATATTAGGCAATATGCACATAATCCTTTTGATCGGTAAGAGAGTACATATTACCTATGATTTGAGCTGCCATTTTCGAGTCTCGGAGATCTATCCATGAATGCTCTCTCAACCACAGGCATTATTAGGGCCAAAGATGGTGCATCTATAAAATGTACAAATTTTGTTTGAAGTAACTGTGCAAACAATTTGAAGTATTTTTGATGGATCTTCTAAAGCTGTCAATAATATAGGAACGATAGCTTGAATTTCGGATTTTTATTACGGATCCTATTACTTTGATGCGTCAGCACCAGCTTCGCTCTTTAGTATGCGAGTCACCAAGTACTTGATTAGTTTTGGAACGGTTAAACATGATGACAATTGTTTGGGTGCAAAATGCCATAGCCCGAGTTCAACCGAAGCCTTCGTTCGCCAGAATTTCATCGTTAAGTGAACGATGGAAGAAACGTTTACTCCATGTGCCGAAAGTTTACCCATAACTACTTTTGCCGTATCATCAGCTGCTTTCCTAACGTATTGGAGAGAGTCTCCAAAGATTGCAATAGAGAGGTAGTACATGAACAATGTAAGGCCAAATAAAGTCCAAGGGTTGTACATAAACTTCAAGCAAAAGTGCACCTTCCTGATTTATTATTTTCTCTTGTAAAATTTCGTTAATTGACTTATATCGAATTGTTTCAATGACAAAATTCCCAAGCCTTTCACAATGCCCGCATCCATTAGCTGCACCCTCCGCTCTCCATACTTATCAGATTTATAGTTGTTGCAATAATTTCTTTATAATTTCAGGAGCTTTATCTTTCACCGATGAAACTAAATGTGGTAAGCAATTAGCCACGCTTCTTGTATGCTGAGAAGGTTGACAGAGCTGAAATTAGTCTTCGCACTATGGTTCAATTCAATACATCAGCTTCAAGGTCGAGCCAATGATCCCATTAAAATGACCACAGCTTGTCTAACGTTATCGAAGGTTTGATTTCGGTGCTTTGTCTAAAAGTCTTCGAAAACTGGTAACAAGTTGACTATAGTTCTTGTCCATGAAATCCACTATACAAAGAGCAGATGCAAGCATTTCTTTATGGACAGTTTCATTACGATCTCTAAACTTTGGCTACCATAATGCATAATTTTAACGTCGTCAACATCAAAAATTTGGAAACCTGTGATTGATATGCAATTCCTCTTCGAGGCCCATTGATTTATAGCAGGAAAATTCTCGATCGAATTGATCCAATTAGGAGGAATCATGGTCAATTTTCTCTGTATATCGAATAAAGATTTTGCTGTATATTTTACCTGTTCATGATTAGTGGAAAGTAATTGCACAAGAGAAGCAGAAGCAGCTTTTTGTATACAAAGCTCCTTATGTGTGACAAGCAAAAGTACATCATCTAATTCAGGTGGTACAAATTTAGCCGATTCCCACAAATCTGAAGCTAATATGCGATTTTCACCCGAAGTGTCATATTTAGCAATCCACAATCGAAGTGAGTCCTCTATCTCATCGTTAGTAGCATATGCACAGTAGTTCTCCAGAACTTAAGTTTGCCACTACAGTCACCTACGGTTGTGTTTAACTCTGCCTTGGTACATATTTATAAAATGAGAGTAATTTCGACATTTCTAAACGAGGCATGTACTTGGTGGTTGTATGTCGTCACTTCACCAAACACCGTAAAGCCTCTAATTTCATATGACCCAATCAATTGAATACCAATCAACAACAATTCTTCGCTGTTCACTACGAAATTTGTCGCAAACGCTCGTTTTAAAAACTCGAATGTATATGTGAAGGACGGTGCGCAATAGAGGTTTGATGTTTATGTCACTGTCTATTTAAGTTTAGAACAATGATTCGTAGATGTAAAGAGCACAAATACGATAGTTAATCCCAGATCGTGTTATATGGAAAGGTTTATATAACGAATTAAAATACGTCGAAAAGTGCGCAGTTCTATAGTATTGTTTGCATTGTACCAGATTATGTTGTAATCATTGTAGCGTCATATTGAGTGCAGTATATGTTTCATTAGTGTGCAGTTTAACAGATTGTAAATGGTTATTCATTTAACATCAGGAGACAGATATTAAGAGTTATGGATGTTGAGTAAAATACTTTTAAGATTCGTTCATATCGTTTGTTATCCATTCATTTGGCAAATCTATCCGTGGTTTTAATCTACGTCATTGCAATATCTCTACCTAAGCTATCTTCAAAGCATGCTTCGAAATTTAAAAAGTTTTCCAACGATTCAGCTGCGATTGACATGGAACTTTAATAATTGCATTAATAACTTAAAAATGTAATGAAACTGCTTTAGGATTTTCGAATGCCGCTTTAACATAGAATGGATTTTTAACTTTTATGAGAATGTTTATCTTTATTAATCTACAATACAATAACTTAACAACAAAATATTTTTATTTTATTTCGAAATAAATAATTTCTATTTACAGTACATAAGACAAAATCATTTCGGACAATTTAATAGGGTGTATTCTACATCTATAATTTTACTTCAATTCACACAATGTTCAATCAACCACGCAACCAACTTCTAAAAGTTGACAAACATAGCTAAAAGTAGTATCGTTATCACGGAGATGCAAAATTGAAACTAAAGCTATCCGATTAGACTTACATAACCATTTTTCTTTGGTACCGTTAACCAGCATTGGTACGAGCTGTTTAATAACATCTGGGCTATCTTATCAATAGCTAACTTTTGCCAAGTAATTACAGCTTTTAGCAACAATCTGTTTTATTTCTTGCTTTTGTGATTCATAGCCCTTGTAAAGCATGAAACTATTATTGAGAGACATAATATCATTCGACATATAATAGTGCAATAAACACGTCATTGCGCGAACACCACTGCTTGCAATATTTATTTTGTCTGATGAAATACTAGAAGTGATAAATTCTATCAACTTGATTCATATTTTGAAGTAATAATTGCAGACTCTTTCAATGCCACAAACAGGCTGCGGTTCGTCGGCGTTTAATAATACGGCACCATTTCACAACGAAGATATGAAGCTAATAAATCATCAACTTGTGAATCGATAAATATCAAAATGTCTCCTAAACAACCTGCAGAAGCAGATCGATAATTTCTTCAGAGTCCTATCATATTTAGTAGAGTAGCGCTTAATTGTAGCTTTAAACATTCGACATTTTCTCCAGCTAAAAATACTTAAACGTTTGCGCTAACATAGTTTCTCGCATTGACGGGTCGTCATTAGATTTTATCCCAATGTGAATTTCATTAATATTGAATCAGGCCGTGAATGTATGATAACCAATTCAGATATTCGCAGCTTTTGCGAACACTTCTGTTCGAGTCTGTAAACCTTCAAAAATGTTTTGTAACTGCGGAAAAATTGTTTCAACATGACTCAACTTTTTCAATAAAATAGCTAATCCAGTACAGCTGCCTTGACACCTGCATTAAACGATCTCCTAGAATTCGAATTAACGGTACATATTTCACCCAACCTTCAGCTGCATTTTCTTTAACATCTGGCATTCCATTCAAAATTGCTTCCCGAAAGACGGAAGTAGAGGCGTAATTCCTTCGGAAGGCAAAAGCCCGGCAGCTCGGAACCTTTAATTTGCTCGAAGCAAACCGAACGGCTTGTCTAACGTCACACACTAGAGAATTTGTTGGTTGAATCTAAAGTTTTCACAACTGAGTTTATCCATGAATTTTGTAAAATGTCGCGATTGGAATCAGCCATTAGGCGTAAAACTGCGTAACAATTGTGGAACATATTGGGAATAATCACCTGAGAGTAGACAGAATACACAAAGTAAACTTGACGCCGACTTTCTATATTTATGCAATCAGATTTTGTGACATCATTAGAGTGTCGACATGTCCGAACACCATTTCGTCTGTAACTGACAGTATTACTGCTTGACACAACTTTGGTACTCATAGGCAGTTCCTTGTGCATCGGAAAGTGCATGTAGCAAAGATCCAGAATTTTGAAGGTCGTTAATGCTCCCCTGCCACCGAAACTAATATGGAAAAGCTTTGTGTTTACTGGAGTTGATGTTAATTGGGGAACAAGATATGGCAATACCACTCGAGATTTAATTTCATCACTTGGCGAAGGCCATCTAATGTATATTCTGCAACAGTTGGATCAGGGTCTCAACCCTCAAGCATTGAAGGAATATCGTCTAAAGCACGTGAGCCAACAGTTGAATGTAAAGATATTTGCCGCGGCCTTCCTCACCCAGAAAGGATCCGATAAAGCTTTTACTGTTGGAACTAGACTGTAACGAACGACAACCATTTCTTAGAAGTTGAGTCATTATTTCCGATAGGCCAATGCAAACTCCTTGACGTTGATCTGGATGTTCCGAATTAAGTCCCTTCTCTAATATTGGTATTATTTCGGGAAGTACTCTCTCTCCCAATTTTCTCACCAAATCTCCTAACGTTCGCGCAGCAACTTGACGTTTATCATAGCTGGTGCTTGCCAAACATCCTATAGTAAACTAAATAATGTAGGTAAGATTTCCTTAGTGTGCGTGGTGTTGTTACTAGATTTCAAACATGAGTGACGCTTGTCGACCACAGTGATACATCACCTGCCCATATAAAGGCCTGAAAGACTCTATTTCGCCTTTCTTCGCCTTAATCTTATTATGGCAGTAGTGACTGTTCGGTTCCAAAATTATCATCTTCACTTGCCGTTTCTGTAGTCATTTTTCCAGATACGCCCGATATTCTGTATAGCAAATCTCCTAATAATTGAACAGAACTAAACCGTATTCTCCAGTTATCATCAAATAAACCCTTTTCTAGTTCAGGAAGAAGAAGCATCACTGCTGATTCGGCGTACAAATTCACTATGCGTTGCCCAACTTTTAATGCCGTGTCCCGAACATACTCATTCTCATCAGCCAATGCTTTTAATATAGGATTAATTATTTGGCCAATATAAGGAGTAAAATC